AGCCCCGCGCCGGCAAGCAGAGGAGGCGGGGAAGGGGAGCCGGCGCGCGAGAGTCAACCCTCAGGCCCCCGCGTAGGGAGCGTCCGACCCGCCTTCTGGCCCTTTAAGAGAACCCCCGCCCCTCGCATGCCTCTGTCACGTGCGAGCTCCCTCCCCCCGCGCCCGCGGCCCATCTCTTGTGCGCCTGCGCTATAAGGCTCCTGGGCTCCCTGGAGAAGGGGTGCGTGGGGCAGCACTGCTGGGATCTTCCACCACGTGACTGTGAGATGGCGAGGGGCTGACTGGCGTCCCCCAGTGCCCAGCCTGTTGCACATACTCTCCAGCTTGTACAGTTTGCTCCTATCCCCCTAAATGAAGTTGTATCTTCTGGCCTCTCATCAGGGCCTGCGCTATAAGGCTCCTGGGCTCCCTGGAGAAGGGGTGCGTGGGGCAGCACTGCTGGGATCTTCCACCACGTGACTGTGAGATGGCGAGGGGCTGACTGGCGTCCCCCAGTGCCCAGCCTGTTGCACATACTCTCCAGCTTGTACAGTTTGCTCCTATCCCCCTAAATGAAGTTGTATCTTCTGGCCTCTCATCAGGGCCCCTAAGCCCAGTAGTGAATGCAGGCATAGGTGTGGGAACTAGGAGATCTGGGGGTGCTGCTGAAGTGGTTTCCATTATATACAAGTTTTATAGCAATGGAAGGCATCCAGGTTCTCGGTATGGCCCATGAGCCATTTGTTTACTGTTGCCCCCGGTCAGAGTTGCTACATTCCACTGGTTTTCATCTGCATCATTTTTTCTTAACAGCATGACATGAAAAGCAAGGGCACAGGATGTGAGGTGTATGCTGATTGTACACACCATTAACTGAGAGCCACGTGCTCCTTCTGCAGCACTTCTATGGTTCAATAGACCCACCCTTTACATTCTAGTACCAAAGCACAGTTAGCAAAACTACTCTAACCCAGGAGACCATCTTGGTTACAACCATCTTGGGGCCCAGTGAACTGAAGGAGGGCTGCTTGTGCAACCCATACACTACCTTAGGTTGCCCATCACTGGTTTATAGTTTGGATCAACGTTACAAATTATTCCAGTTCACCCCTCCCCTCCAAATACATGCAATGAATGGGGAGACACTAGGACACAAGCCCTTAAAGCATCCCTAAAAACTCCCCACAAACATTAAAATATGCCATGTGTTCAACTTTTAAGTGAGTGAGTCATCTGGCCGAAGTCAATGGCATAGACCTCCCAACCCTGCAGTGGCTAACTGGGCTGCCAACACCAATCTATGATGAGGTGGGTGGGCCAAACCTCTAGGCCACCTTGCATAACAGAAATATTCAGTTCCAACCTGAATGGGGGTGCCTGGATCAAAGCAGGACAATCTTGCAAAATCTGGGAGGTGGGGAAGTTTTCAGTGGTGTTTTTTATTTTGCTTCCATTCAGAAATAATAAAATGTGTACAAAGGTGTCAGTGACACATGGTATTCTCTGGCTTTTAGAATTAAAAAGCCGCCAAACGAAAGAATTACCAAATCAAATATCAATCTTTAATCTAACTTTGCAAACAAGAAGAGAATCAGAATGACTTATTTCAAGCAGCCTATGAGTCAGACTCCAGGTGAAGGACATACTAAATGACAGTACTGGTTGGACCTCCCTGGTCCAGCACCCTCGGGATCTGACCAGTCCCAAGAGAGGGAGTTTGCCGGAGCATGGGAGGTTGACCCCTCTGCTGATGGACTCCAGGCTCTTTCAGGGACTGTCAGCAGATTGCCAGGCTCCCCTACCCCCGGGCCACCACGCTCCAGCTTTCAGCTAGCTGCTCCCTCATGTGGGTGGTCCAAGGCTCTCTGGTCCAGCAATATGTGTTGTTGTGTCAGATCATGGATGCTGCCAGGCCAGAGAGTCTCAATCACTGCAAAGCCCTAAAGAAAGCCACTGCAAATATTCCCATGCAAGGATGGCATGGTGAATTCATCATATGTTGATAAGTAACCGGTCTGCTGAGTTCTGAATAAGGTGAAATCGTTCATCATATGCTGATAAACCGGTCTGCTGAGTTCTGAATAAGGTGAAATCTGTCAAGCAGAACCTTCTTGTATCACACCCACAGTGACATCAAAACTGAGATAGTTGGAAGTTTGGCTTCCTATTTGGCTCTAGGTAGGCTGCATGGGATAAGGGTAAAATTTCTTGGACCATACCTTATCACTAAAACATTTGAAAAGGTATGGCACGCAAGGAATCAAGCAGCAAAGGTGAAGCACTTACATCATAAATAGCTTACTACTGCAAACAGAACAAAATTAAAGAGACAACATTTCCCAGATATACAGTGTTTTTGCAGCTGTGTTGATTCCAGGATATTAGCAAGCAAAGGTGAATGAAGTAATGTCTTTTATAAGATTCACCAACAGAATTCAGGGAGACAAGATTGCAAGCTTACTGGCGCTTACCTCACTCACCTTCTCTAACATTCCCCATAGTCCACCCTGAAGTCATATTTATAAGAGAAAGTCAAGTATCCTCTTCTAAATGGGAAATATCATGTAATTTGCTCCTTCATTCAACTTGTCTGTATAAAGATAAGTAGATCTTCATTGTCGTTCTAAATGCTCTACCGTTCAGGTTAATCCAAGTCTGTCTCTTGTACAAAAAAGTAGCTCCTACATTAGCGGGGTGGTCTCCTAGAGAATGTCAACAATTGCATAGGGCTGAGAACGCATAAAGCTTAAAAAGGAAATCGACTTGAAAAGGGAAGAGTAGAGATTAAGGAACAGAAAGTATCTCTGAGGGCAAACAGTAATACCGTACTGCTGATATCACATCAAGCTCTGTGCACAGAATAAAGTTAATATAATACTCCGTGAAATAAAATTATTAGGACTTAACCTGACCTCTCACTAGGCAAATATCCAATGTTCCTGAGTTTCTAAAAGACATGTCGCCTCTCTTGCATGTGCGTACAATGGTGGTATGAAGAATACACACGGACACAAACACAGACCCTATGGCGTTGTTTGGCCTACAACACAGATAAGGGTATGTCTACACTAACAAGGCTGTTATTTCGAAATAATAATTCCTGCTTGTGAAGAGGAATACGTTTATTTCAAAATAGTTATTTTGGGAGTTATTATTTCAAAGTAACCTAGTAGTGTAGACATACAACTTAGAGCAGCTTTGACAGGCTGTAAGGCTGTCAGGCAGAAACATCCCACAAAGGGCCAGTCTTTAACGGCCTAGGATTGCGAGAGTACAGTGATGCTGTGGCGTGGCCATCCTCCCTCACCCCAAGCTATGCCTATCATACACCTTCTGTTAAGAGCCAACAGGAAGAGCTACACAGAAAAAATAATTTGCAGTGCCCAAGTAAAATGTTGTATTGGTCTTACAAAATCCAGAAATTATATTCATGAACTATTTCCAGATAGATACAGAGGGGTAGCCAAGTTAGTCTGTAACAGGAAAAACTTTAAAAGCAATAAATAGACTAGTAGCACCTTAAAGACTAACAAAACATGTAGATGGTATCCTGAGCTTTCGTGGGCACAACCCACTTCTTCAGATGATAGGATAGCATAAGAATTAAACTTGTAAATGAAGTTAAATTCCAAACCTTCTCTGTGTATTTGGCTTTTGTTTCAGGCCAATTCCACAAGTCAAATACACAGAGAAGGACTGGAACTTAACTTCATTTACAAGTTTAATTCTTATGCTATCCTATCATCTGAAGAAGTGGGTTGTGCCCACGAAAGCTCAGGATACCATCTACATGTTTTGTTAGTCTTTAAGGTGCTACTAGACTACACTTATCTTCATGCCTTTAGCTTCTATCCCAGACACATTTCTCAATCTATTGTATACAGCCAAGCCCTAAAATACAACCAGATTTGCTCCAATCCCACAAATAGAGACAAACACCTACAGGATCTACATAGAGCATTCATAAAACCGAAATACCCATCCGGAGAAGTGAAAAAACAGATCAATAGAGCCAAAAAAGTACCCAGACATGAACTACTCCAAGGAAGGCCAAAAAGAGAAAACAAGAGAATTCCACTTGTCATCACCTATGGTCCACAACTTAAATCCCTTCAATGCATTATCAACAATTTACAACCTATCCTGGAAAATGACCCCTCACTCTCAGAGGCCTTGGAGGAAGGCCAATCCTCACTTACAGACAACCCCCTAACCTCAAAAAAATTCTTTCCAATAACCACACAACACACCTCTATCATAATCTTCCTGGAACCCATCTCTGCAATCAGCCCTGGTACCAACTCTGCCCACACATATACACAAGCGATTTCATCACTGGACCCAACCACATCAGCCACCAAATCAGAGTATAAAACAGAAATAATTTAGTGGTAGCACTGCCTCTCTGCTATGTGTATTGGCCAAACCGGACAGTCTTTATGGGAAAGAATTAATGGACACAAATCAGATATCTGAAAAGGCAACACACAGAAACCTGTTGCAGAACACTTTAATCCACCTGGACACTCATTAATGGATTTCCAAGTCACCGTTTTGTTCCAGGCTAATTCCA